TTGTGTTTTCCATATCCCACATGTTCAAGGGAATTATCTTGCATATAAATAGAGATCTATGGAGAGGTGTTCCATAAGATCTAAGAGAGTAGATCAAATGATCTAAGAGAAACATATTGTGAGCTTTAGTTTTGAGTAGTTTCTAAAGCTAATAAGAAAAGTTGTTCTTATAATCCTTTGTGTTTCTAGAGATTAGATTCGATTGTATATATTCAGTATTGTAAACGGTATATCGTAAATTGACAGTGAAAATGAGATTAATTATCATTAAAATATGATGTAAAGAGTATAGTCATAAACAACTAAGCTAAAAAACTTAAACAGCTAAGCTAAGAAAATCCAGTGAAATTTAATATTTAACATCTTTGTATTAAAGAAATAAACTTTGGTTGAAGATGCAAAACTCTAGAAATGAGAGTTTTCTTTTAGCTTTCGTTAGCTTTGTCTTGCACAAGACGGTTACTATTTGATTCCACCATTATACTACTGTTACAAAACTAAGAGAAAATCGTTAATTAACTAACAAAGTGATAAACCCAAAAGGCTAACTTACTAAATATAACAAATCATTGAAGTATACTCTACTAGTAAATATAACAAGTTGTATTGTCTTTAAATTTCACCTTCTAATTAAGACTTTAAACTCGGATTAGGCGACATGGCACCATCAATAGAAGAGTCAATAATCTCTAGTCACTAGTGACATTGATAGACTTCTAGTAGCTTGAGTCTGACGTGGCAGGAAGGACGCTGACATGTTTAATGAGAAAGACTCAGGAGAGCCTTGATTTAGTTCAGAAGGTTTGCCGTTACGAACTTGGAAGCTGTTGGTGAACAAGTTGAGTATAAAAAGGAAGTTGGAGAGGAAAATGAGGCATGCTTTGATGTTGTATGAAGATTGACGCCATGAGTCATCTTGACCCGATCGCCATGAGATCGGTGACGAAGGTGAAGCTCGCCATGAGAGCCTAGCCGGAGTCAACTCAAAGCTATTCGTTTATCATCTTGTAATCTCTGTTCTTGCTTGTAATCTGACATTGAAGATCAATAAAGGAGTTAGGGATTTGAAAACTCTATCATTGGTGCGGTGATACTGGTTCAGATTCAACGCGGTGCTGCGGCTGTGTGACGAATCGGAGAAGACGACGTGATTTGATCGGAGCGGTGGTGCAGATACAAGCGTGTTGAAATCGGATCGTGACGATGAGTTCTGAAGAAGTTACAGTTTTTAGTGGAGTTTCAAGTGAGTTGCGGCCATGGATTTCATATATGGAGCTTTCATTCTCTTTCTTTAAACATTCAGAGCTTGACAAGATAGCTTGGGCTAAGCTATTCATGGATGGTAGATCCAAAGAATATGTTAAATCGTTAGAAAGGCTATCTCCTTTTAAGACCTGGCATGAGTTGAAAGATTCCTTGTTGTTGGTGTTTGCGGAGAAAGATGATCCTGATGGAGTTAGGTTAAAGATAGATTCTGAGCAGAGGATGCAGCGATGGATAGATGATTATGATCGGAAGAGAAGGACATATGTATCAAAAGGCTCAAACAAGAATGTTGTTCATGAGACAGAAGTAGAGAAGCAGAGCATTCAGGTGGAAGAAGTTCCTTTAACCTTTGTAGCAGAAGTACACCAGAAAGATTTGGTTTGCGAGTTTGTTCCTGAAACAGTAGTAATGGTGAAGCAGACTGAAAGTGTGCTGGCTGTTTCTATGCACCCTAAAACATTGCTTGAGCGAGATGTACTTTTTGCAACTGACCAAGCGAATGAATCATCTGTTAGCAGTGAAGTTGTGCCTGAGTTAGTACTGGTGAAGAAGACATCATCACCAGCTGAGAAAGATGTTTCTACTGATCTAGAAACTGAAGAGGCAACTCCATATGTGGAAGAAGTTTCTGTCGCTTCTGTTGCAGGAGTGCACCAGGAAAAAATGATTCCTGCACCTGTTCAAGAAACAGAGGCCATACTGAAGAATTCACGTGCTGAAGATATGCACTGTGAGACTGGTGATGTTACGGGTTGTGCTGCAGTAACGGTGCATCTAAAACCAGAAGTAATGCTGCAGACTGACTCACTTCTTAAGCTGGATCAACAGGCTAGTTTGAGAGGCAGATTAAAGTCAGGCAACATACATGTTCTTGTGACAGGGTTGGTGCAGGAGAAACATTCATCAATCTTAAACTATCATGATGTGCACCAAGCGTTTGCTCAACGTCCCGTGTTAAGAAGAATGCCATGTAAGATGAAGAAAGACAAGTACCCTAAAGCTTAGAGGTATAAGTTCAAAGACAGGAACTTTCAGAGACTCATGCTTAGGAGAGTGGTGAACTTCAAACAAATTTCAGATTCTGAATTTCTTGTGGCTGTAACCTGTAAGAAGAAGCAATGGAGGTCTCCTAAGACTTGGAAGTTTAAGTTCAGAACCAAGAATTTGCAGAGATTCAAGGTTACCAGAGTGAAACACTTAAAAACAGTGTCAAATTACACAGTGTCTATCTTGGACAGGAGAATGTTAGGAATGGACCAGAGACATCTCCACGGGTTGCTGGAGTTGAGAGGAGCTAATTGGAAAATTTTAAAGAGGTCTCAGTTAAACTGTTTGTTTGATGGGGAGCAGAAGTCAGTGAGCTTGTTACAAGCTGTATATGTGTTACGTTGGATGGGTTGGTGTTATGCAGAAAATGTGAAGAAATATCTCGTGTTGGCTGGTATGTTGCAGTCTTGCAGTGATCCTCAAGTGAAAAGAGTACCAAGTAACCACCAGCAAAGGAAGTTTGTTAAAACTTGGAAGTGGAAATACAAATTTCTGCAGCCGTTTGGGAACTGTGGTGTACAGCTTGAGATCATGGAACAAAAATATATGAACGACACCAGTTCTGATATGATTTCTGCAGCTACTTGGCAGTACTGGTTCTTAACGTTGCAGCAACGTGGGTCTTTTTATGAGAGTGATTCTATCAGGCTCAGCACAAGCTTGAGGTCAAGCTTATTTTCGAGGGTTGGAGTATATGAGAAGATACGTATTTGCTCGTTCATCTTGGCTGTGTTGATTTGGAGATATGATAGAGAAGGAAAGGAAGAATCAAAGCCGTTGATACATGAGCTGTTCAGAGTTTCATCATTTCTGCCTCATGTGTTACCTCAAGACAATGACTTGTCATTAATGCAGCACGAGTGTAATCTGCTACGAGTGCGGGTACAACAAAGTCATAAAAAGAAAAGGTCCTTCAAGACGTATATGTTTAAGTACAAACAACAGCTCAGAAAGATAATTGTTTTGGTAGAAGTTCTGCAACCTAACGTACAAGGAGCTTATGTGTATAATATAAGTGGAAATGATGGCAAAGGGCAGAGCCGTGACTGTGGAGGAATGTGGAGTGGCTTGTCTGTTCACAAGGGCAGCAAAGTGATGCAACAAAGGCGGAGAAGTAAAATGCCTAAGTCTTGGATGTTCAAGTATAAAGATAAGGTGGATACTTCAGCTGCTACGTTGGCCATTTGCAGAAGCAACAACAAGACCTTCAAGTATGCAGGATAAGCTTTATCATGATCTTATCCTTGGACACCAGACGTTTCTTTTCTTCTTCCAAGCTTGTGGGCAAGCTTGTCGTTATGGGGGAAGTATTGATAGACTTCTAGTAGCTTGAGTCTGACGTGGCAGGAAGGACGCTGACGTGTTTAATGAGAAAGACTCAGGAGAGCCTTGATTTAGTTCAGAAGGTTTGCCGTTACGAACTTGGAAGCTGTTGGTGAACAAGTTGAGTATAAAAAGGAAGTTGGAGAGGAAAATGAGGCATGCTTTGATGTTGTATGAAGATTGACGCCATGAGTCATCTTGACCCGATCGCCATGAGATCGGTGACGAAGGTGAAGCTCGCCATGAGAGCCTAGCCGGAGTCAACTCAAAGCTATTCGTTTATCATCTTGTAATCTCTGTTCTTGCTTGTAATCTGACATTGAAGATCAATAAAGGAGTTAGGGATTTGAAAACTCTATCAGACATCCACCAACAAATGTTTGGGTTAAATAAAGTCCACCAATTCTTTTATAACCTCATAATCATAAACACTCAATATACTCTTTATTTTAAATGTGAAATATATTGAACTCTATTAGAAACTAAAATTTTTTTTTTTTTTTGGCAACAAATAGATTCATAAATCTAATCGTAGTCAATACAAAGGAGAAATAGTGTTGTAGAGAGCGGCTTTTGTAAGGGAATTAGCAACAGTGTTGTTCTCTCGGCCAACAAAAGAAACAAAGAAAGACATAAAAATAGAAGATAGAAACTCGATATCTATGAGAAACTAAAAACTAAAATTGAATACCTAAAATATTATTTCTGATTTTTAAAATAATTAGACAATTCTTAACATTTTAGTTAAGATTTAATTGTCTGTTTATTACACAATTCAGTATTTTACAGACAAACATGATATCTTCCGACACAAAAAAAACTAATAAACAGATAAGAAAACGTTTTTATTTTCTTGAGTGGGGTGAAAATAAAGCGTGTTAAAAGAAGGCACTGAACTACAAATGATGCTGATGTTCTGCTTCTGACATCCTCTCTCTCTCTCTTCTTTCCCTCTACATCTGCGCAGCTTCTTCATCTACGGCTGAGAAAACAAAACCTTCACAGACCACAAAAAGGCTAAAACTTTTTTCAAACCCTCAAGCTCTTTTGTAGCTCCTCAGACTTTTGCTAATGTTTTTCTTGGTCTTCTAGAGGTAACTGAATCAATCAGCTTCAATCTGACCTTTCCTTTTTTTTTCCGATCTTCAATCAAATTTCAAATTTCTTCACATGAAATCTGGTGTGTACTCTCCAATTCATTTCCCCTAAAGTTCATCTCTTTGCTCGCTACAAAAAAAATGGATTCTTTTTGGTGATATCAATAAAAAGTTTGTGTCTTTACTAGATTTGTGTGTAATTAGAATAGGCCTTTTGTTAGATTGGTATCTTTGTTGATAACGACGAAAAAAACTGGAGTTAAGAGTATGACTATAATGGAGGAGAAGCAGAGTAGCCCTGTTTCAGAGAAGCAGCAGAGTTTTAATGGTATCATAAACCATACACAAGAGAATCATCAGATGAAAACAATGGAAAAGCAACAGAGTTTTCGATGTGTGGAGAGTAATAACCAGCCAAGAAAGGCGAGAGCTTTAGAGAAACAAGTTAGTTTCCAAGGTGTGAGTGTGGAGAATCAGCAGCAGCAGCCAAGCAGGCTCGGAAGAGCAATGGAGAAGCAACAGAGTTTCCGAGGTGTGACTGTAGAGAATCCGAAACGTGGAATTATGGAGAAGCTTCCGAGTTTTGGGAAGGCAACGATGGAGAGGCAGAAGAGTTTCCGTGGCGGATTTTTGGAGAAGCAGAAGAGCTTCCGTGTGGTGATGGAGAGGCAGTTGAGTTTCATTGGTGAGAGGAGGAAGAAGAATGAGTCACCAGGGAAGAGAGGAGACTCTCCTCTTCATATAGCTGCTAGAACAGGGAACTTAAGCAAGGTTAAAGATCTGATTCGAGGTGGTTGTGATGGAGAAGAGTTGAGAGAGTTGTTGTCAAAGCAGAATCTTGAAGGAGAGACTCCTCTTTACACTGCTGCTGAGAATGGTCATTCAACTGTTGTTGAGGAGATGTTGGAGCATATGGATCTCCAAACTGCTTCGGTAGCTGCTAGAAACGGGTTTGATCCATTCCATGTTGCAGCTAAACAAGGCCATCTTGGTAAAAACAAAAATCTCTACTTCTAAAAGTAAAGAACCATTCTCTTACTTTTGCTTATCTTTCTTTTGCAGAGGTGTTGAAGATTCTGTTGGAGACATTCCCAAACTTGGCAATGACAACAGATTTATTGTGTACAACTGCGTTACACACAGCTGCAACACAAGGGCATATTGATGTGGTGAATCTTCTTCTGGAGACAGACTCTAATTTAGCTAAGATCGCTAAGAACAATGGTAAAACTGCGCTTCACTCTGCAGCAAGGATGGGTCATGTGGAAGTTGTTAAATCTCTGATAGGTAATGATCCAAGCATTGGGTTTAGAACCGATAAAAAGGGACAAACAGCTCTTCACATGGCTGTAAAAGGTCAAAACGATGGTATTGTTGTTGAGTTGGTGAAACCTGATGTTGCTGTTTTGAGCGTTGAGGATAACAAAGGGAACACGCCATTGCACATTGCCACAAACAAGGGCCGTATCAAGGTACTAACTCTTTACTTGCTTTTCTCAATCATACAAATTCGTTATTCACATCATGGAAGGATCTTTCTTCTCTGCAGATAGTGCGGTGTTTGCTATCTTTTGAAGGCATTAACCTCAACCCAATAAACAAAGCTGGAGATACGCCACTGGACGTTGCTGAGAGGATAGGAAACGCAGAGCTTGTGTCTGTTCTGAAAGAAGCAGGAGCTGCTACAGCTAAAGATCTAGGAAAGCCTCAGAACCCAGCTAAGCAACTCAAGCAAACGGTCAGCGACATAAAGCACGAGGTACAATCTCAGCTTCAGCAGTCTAGGCAAACCGGTGTAAGAGTCCAGAAGATAGCAAAGAGACTGAAGAAGCTTCACATTAGCGGTCTAAACAACGCTATAAACTCAGCAACCGTCGTGGCTGTGCTTATCGCCACGGTGGCTTTCGCAGCCATTTTCACTATACCTGGTCAGTATGAAGAGGATCGGTCCAAAGGAGAGATGCTAGGACAGGCGCATATAGCAAATAGAGCACCGTTTCTGGTCTTCTTCATCTTTGACAGCTTGGCACTGTTTATTTCCTTAGCTGTTGTTGTTGTGCAGACTTCAGTGGTTGTGATTGAGGAAAAGGCGAAGAAGAAGCTTGTCTTTGTAATCAACAAGCTCATGTGGTGTGCTTGTCTGTTCATATCCATTGCCTTTGTTTCTCTCTCTTACATTGTTGTCGGCAAAGAGGAGATGTGGTTGGCCGTGTGTGCAACTGTTATTGGCGGCACGATCATGTTGACTACGATCGGTGCCATGTGTTACTGTGTGATCATGCATAGGATGGAGGAATCTAAACTAAGAAGCATAAGGAAAGAGAGAAGCAAGTCTCAGTCATTCTCTATGTCTCGTATGCCTTCTGAGTCGGAGATTCTAAATGGTGAATACAACAAGAGAATGTATGCACTATGAGCAAGTCTCCTCATGTAAGAATAACCAGTATATACTTGTATTTTGTAATGAGTCCATTGAAGTATCAACGCAATATACACTTTTTCTGATATATTTAATGAATCAAAGAATGAGAATGAAGAAACCATAACCTGATGATACTCATAATCTTAGGTGTGAATATATAAAACTTGATTTCCTACTGGGTCATGGCTTCTAAGAATCTAGCTATAGTGTGATGTTAGCAGGAACCATCTTCAACCCCGTCTGGTGCTCCCACCGCGGTAATTCTCTGGCTGGTAACGAGTGGAACCCTCTTGATTCTTTGTCCCGCTGTTTGATTTGGGTTTGGAATAAGCGAGACTAACTGATTTGGCAGCTGAGAAGCAGTAGCGGACTTTGATAGAGTGGGTAGTTGTTCTGGTCGAGCAGCTTCCCTGGATGATAACCATAAGGGTCACTTCTTTGTCACAAGTTTCTTCACACGAAAAGTTTTGTTGGGTGCTATCAAAGGACTCATCTGATGTGTGAGAGTCTTCATGATGAACCTTCACCTGTACTGAAGCATCTGGTTTTATCATACCAGCTCCTGGAGAAACCTACAAGAATAGTTATCTGAGTCATTAAATTTTGTAATCTCTATAAGGGCCAAAATATTGGTGACAAAAAAACAGAGAATAGTAACCTCGAGCCAGCGAGGGAGACCAAAGGTGCCTCCGTCATCTCTAACAACAGTCTGACCTCTACAGACGATGTTGAAGAGGGCTCTACTCGAGTTTGACTTGTTTGTGATTGAAAAGATGAACGTGTCCTGACTCTGAAGTAGAATACTGTTGGTACTCACTGATGTTTCTGGAACGTATCTTAGCTCCTCGAACATGGCTCTGAGTTTCTCATTAGACCTTATTATTTTCCCCAGCTCCTGTCTTCTTACAGATTTATCGGTGTGAGCTATGTTAGCATGAAGTTTGCAGCGTACAGGTTTGTGATCACTCTCAGTCACATCCATGCAAGCTTCATACCTGTTTAACACAATGCATAGAGTGGTGAGAAAGCCGAAAGAAGAAAGGGAAAAGAAATAAAGATCATGAGATTGTGTGATGGAACATTACATTGTAGTACAAGAAACTACAGGGCATTGCAAATTGCACTCAGAAAATGGGGCTGACTGGTTATCTCTGTATATAACTCTGTCACACCATGCAGGTATACGCTTCTTCTCCCCTGAATCATACCCTGGAGATAGAAACAGTGCAGAGTTAGAATAAGTTTGCAGATAATTTCAAATCTATCTTTTACCTCCAAGGCCTGGCTTATTCTTTTCAAATTTGTAAGTTGGTGGAAAGGTGATCAACGCCTCACGCATTCCTTGGAACACTTTTCCTTCACTCATCTCTTGCCTAAGTTGGTCTTTCTCTCTGAGCCAATCAAATGATCGGTGTGAAATGAAGTCCCTGGCTTCGTCATAGGTTATACCAAACAACCTATAATTGAAGTCACCAAAAAATGCAACAAAATCTGCTGCTGCTAAGTCAGATTTCTCCTCTTCAGTGCTGATGTTTGTATTCTTGGAAACAAAGAAAATGAACAATAACATTAGAAGGGACACACAACAAAAGCTCGAGAACAAAAATGCTAAATTCTGTAACTAATGCATTAATAGAATAAGTTCATACAGTGTTATTCTTTTGTGCTTGGGTAGATGATGAAGCACCGGCTGCAAGAGAGAGAGTCAATGGTAAGTCAGAAGAATAAAGCAGCCAAATGAGCAAGACAAAAAAACACAGGTATGGCGCTATACCAGCTGGAACAGTATATAAACTCTGTCCTTTGGAGAAAACCATTGACCGATATATGTGATTGAAATCAGCGTTTCTCCGAGTAACTGCCTCCAAATGAGCAGCCAAGTGACAGTTCACAAAGCACATAATCCGGTCATAAACTCTGATTCTCAAGCCCACACCTCCCTGTTTATAACAACGTATGAACATTGATCTGATCAACACTAAAGACTCATAGCTGGGTAACCACTAAAAGAGAAGCTAATTCCAGTATTGATCGGAAGATTATTGAATCATACATCAGGCTAATTGATTTGTATTAGACAAAACTACATGAAATATAGCTATAAAAACAGACCTTGTTGCCAATGGCGCGACCAAAGCCACATGGAACTGCTGCGACATCAAGATCTCCGACATGTGTTCTAATATCCTTCCTCACCCTAAGCATAAATTTATGAGACGTGTGACGTGGAAAAGATGGTTAACCAGGACACTAATATAAAGTTCACACTCTTAAGACAGGTGAAAGACTTTAGGTGCTACGTAAGGAAAGAAAAAGACTATTTCTGGTACACCTGCAAACAATAGAGAAAGACAAAAATATAACTTGTCTGGAATGATTTTTTTGCCTACCAAAGAGATATTAGTAGTCCCGCTAATTGTCTTGAACCCATACGTTCGAAAGTGTTTCTCTCATCCAGTGCACTTCCAATTGCATCAATCCACCATTTCCCCACAACACTTCCTTCAACCCCTACCTACGACCAGAACACAAAGATGAGCCGACTTAAAGCAAACAAACAGAGGCAAAGTAAATATTACTCTTTGTTGATTTTCCACACGTTTTCAGTAGTTTCTTTTTTCTTGGTTTAAGCAAAATTAGTCATGAGTAAATAGCTCAAACAGGAGTTACCGTCTCCTTAGCAGTAGACATGGCAAGGAAACCAGCCCCCATATCCACCTCCTGCAACCCAACAGCTACAATGCCTACATCTGAAACATCAGATCCTAGCCAAGACATAAGCGCTCCCCTTGTAGCTCGTCCTTCACCAACATTCCAGGTACCAATTAAGATCTTAACACTGTCTTGTCGGGCGTACGTATTCCCCTTTTGAGACAATTCCGTCCGGATTACACTATCTAGAGGTCCTGGTGATGTCACATACCACCCTCTCACACCACCATGAGTGGCTAAACTAAAAATGAAACCACCACCTGCTGCTAGCTTTATCACAGGTTCATTATGTGAAACCCAGCTTGCAACTAGCTTTCCACCAAGATCCAAAATCTGAATGTAACCACTTGCATAACCCACATATATCCGATCACCAAAAGTGCAAAAGCACAGAACAGCCTGCTGATGATGATTCACTTCACGCAAACGGTTTCCATTTCCGTCCCACTGAGCAATTACGCCATTCATGCTTCCAGTCCAAATTGATCCATCTGCCGCAATCGCAATAGCTTCTACTTTCCTAGGATCTTCAGCAAAAGCTCCTGTACTTCTAGTGGCAGCTCGACGAACAGCTCCTGCAGCTCCCATTATGGCATGTCGTGATCTCTGTAGAAAACCTTGAGATTTATCCTTTTTCGGCGTGGAGAAGAACTTCGCTTTCGTTTCTTCAACTTGTTGACCTTGTGTAGGTGTGCCATCCACACGGTTTTCGACTTGTCCATCAATATTGAAGACTTTCAGAAGTTCTTTATTCTGAGCATCCCTGCACATATACATCTCTCTCTCTCTTTGAATGATCAAGACAAAAAAAAAGTTCAAAATATTCTAACATATTCATAATCAAGACTAAGAACAAAGAAAAGCTTACCACATTGAAAATGAGAGATGCTGCACAGCCCACACTTTAGCTCTTACTATATCAACTAACAAAAACTTGACATCTGAGGACGAAATGCTGCAAGTACCATTGACAGTAACTTGGCTCCTAAGGTCAATTCCAGATCTCTCCACTAACAATGCAGCCATATGCTTCTCCTCTGCTTTAAGCACAAGAGACTTCTCTAAAGAATCAAAAGTCCATATCTTAATCACTCCGCCATCAGAGCATGACCACATATCACCTGCATCAATCACAAAACCAAAAAAAGGATGTGAGAATCCAAAATATTAACAAACCATGAACCCTTCAAAATCACCCAAAAACTAACCATATGAGCTAATGACAATGTAATTCACAGGACCACGATGAGCTTGCCACGAGAGCCGTTCCTTGAAAGGCTTCGAATCATCAGCAGCATTACCAACCGGCTGATCCATTTTCCAAGCCCTGATTTTGCCATCCTTGTGTCCACTCCACACAAGCCTATTGCCATGATCAATCATCAAACATAAGGTAGGAGAGATCGCAACAGATTCATGAAACGGCGCTGTATCCTCATCCCCTCGCCTCACCTGCCCGCCCACACCGTAACCAACCTCGTACGCTTCCTCCAAGTTCCAGAACCTCACGCCATTCTCCTGTCCCGCCCATAGCTGACTTTCTGTGCAAGCAATGTTCCTCAGAAACTTCCCTGTTTGCGTCTCTCTCAACGGATGAGGCCTGATCTCAAGACAAGGCGGCCTTCCAGGGTTCACCGCTGCACGCACGGGGACTCTAAAGACGTCTACACCACCTCCTGCGCCCATGAACTCCGGAAGAGACTCGATATCTTCTTCCTCTTTAACGACATCAGCAGTCTCATCACGCTGCGGTGATGGTTTTGACGCAGGAGTAACGGAACCGTGATCCTCCTCATTGCCTCTGTAGGCGCCAGTTCTTCCGGTGGCTGCTACCTTTTCAGTGGAGAACTCTCCGTCGGAGGAGTCGAAATAGACAGGTTCGGAATCTTTGGTTACGGATTTGGAGCCCTCGTCAAGGCTGTATTTGCGGATCGGGTGATGTGGTGTCTGCTCGTGTTGCTCAACGTAGGAATGTGTCTTGCGTGGTGGTGGATGAGAGGGGACGAGAGATGCCAGGGCCTCCCGCTCGTCTGCTTCGATGATAACCGAATCCATGGAGGAAGAAGATCAAAGGAACTCAGGAAATGAAAATTTTGGGAGACTTGAATGAATGGCACCATGAAGAGGAGATGAGAATGAGAGATTGAGAGAGAGAAGTGGAGAAGAGAGCACGTTGCATGAGAGAGATGATAGATAACGCGAAGTCTTTGCTTTTGAGACTCATCTATAAATAGTAATTTGAGAAAGAAATAAAAAAAACATATTTCAAATTCAAAAGATTAATAACTACTTCATCAATTCATACGTTCTCTCAAGACTGCTTCACTTACAGTAAAGAAAACTGCTTCACATAATCACAAAGGCGTATGATTAATCGACACTTACAGTACTGAAGGAATCTGTTAGTGGGAACACGGATACTTGCAAAGCGGAAACCAAATCAGTCTAGACCACAGCATCAAAAGCAACAACACACTGGAAGTAATCGTGAAAACAGGTGGTTAAAGCACAGACAAAAGCATACAGCAAGAACCAAGAATGGTTTGGAAAAGAGAATCGCAAACTTACTCTTGGTGAAGGAAGTCCACAGCTGCATAATACTTGTATCGCCTTCTCTAGTTCATTATAAACTTTTTCCGGTTTTCCTTTGGCCTGAAATTAGCCAATATACTCGTATTAAGTTTCAATAACGAGTCTAGAAATACTATAGAGTCAGGATTGAAAGATAACACCAGCTTGTCAAAATTTAATAAAGAAGGGAAAGGCAGATCTGCCTACAAGGTTGACACTTCAAAACACTAAACTAATCAACCAAATGTTCTGGATGTGTAGCAGTTTGACAAGTAAAGAAAGCATGAAAAATGGCGAAGCCAGGTATGAGTAAACCAAAGAAAGATATGACAAGAACAATGAGCGGACTTATATCATTGAAGACCACCTCCTCCCATTCTGCAGTTGTGAGATGTTTAAGTGGATGTATGTAGTAAGTTATCATCTTGCCAAACAATCTCCTTCTCACCATCATCCTTGTTTTCGTTCTTAATTGTTGTCTTACTGACGAACTGGTTGAAGCTAAACCCCCAAAACATCAGCATCTCCCTCTGGATCATCATTCTTCAACATGTATCTTTCTTGACCTCATCATCTTCATTCACTGTAGCTTTCTTCTTCTTCTTCATTCTTTCTCCATGACTTGTTGCCAAATTTTATAGACCAAACCAAAAAAAAACTTTCGCATTTCTTCTCGACCTCATCACATTACACGTCACCGAACCTGGAACACTCATAGTAACCTCAAATCCATATATTTTTGCCTCGTTCAGAAACTCGCTAGGCGCTACACGTGCGGTGTAGCAGGGCGTAGCGATTTTTTGAAAAAGAGGAAAAAAATAGGGGACTACGCGGGGAGGAACCGTTTCTAAGTGAAATTTTGAAGATCAAAATACATAGAAACCGGCTCGCGAGGGAAGTCGAATTGGATTTGAATAAGATCGACAAATCCTGGAGCTACTACGTCAACAATCTTAAGCTTGAATTGAAACACTGTATTTGCTTCGTCTTCCACAGCTAACATAACACTGTAAAACCCTATAGAAATCCCCAGTTTTTTGTTTATTTCCAATAAGAAAATGACACATCATATAATCAAATAATTTTCTTTTTTTTCAGGTTACAATAAAATTTCCTTTTTTGTTTAAAGGAGTCGGCCCAATTGTATGGAAAAATTGAAAACCCATTAAGGCCTGGTAGTGGCATCCTCTCCTCTCATAAAATAACCCTCACTGCTCAGTCTACTCTACCTCTTCTTTAAGGACAAAGCTAACACTTTCCTTGCTCTTTATCCAACTATTTGCTCAAATATCAGAATCGATGCTGACCCCCTATTCAGACTGTACAAGTGGCTCCGACCCAGCTACCTAGGCTGTGGAAGAGCTGAAGGGGCAAATAAAAGGAGCTCCTTGGGACCTTGACCTCCGCTTAAACGTCCGACTCCTCCCTCTCTTTATTGTGGCCTCTAAGTTTCATTACCGTAAGATGCAAGTTTTTCGTTCTGGTTTTAAAAGAGTTAGTAGCAGCTAAGACTTGAAACAGCGTTTGATTTACTTCTCACATTCAATTTATTTTTATAAAAATAGTCACTCAAATTACAAATGGTACACTCTGCTAAACCCAAATTTATTTTTGTTGCTTAGAATAAAGTTTTGAGTCACAAAGCTATTAAGCAGAATTGGTCGAAATAAGCCAATCAAACAAACCAACTCTAGGCTCTCTCTTTTTCTTGCTGCTTCTTAATCTCTGGTTCGAATATTCGACCAGCTTCTTCCATACATCTCCCACCGTCCAGCCTTTAGATATAACCAATTCCGTTACCTGATTTAGGTTATGGAGTGCCTCAAATCCAAAAGTGTAATAAGACATGAAAGGCCTTCTTGACTGAGAACAACAATGTAATGTCTGTGAGACAAAGAAACAACCATTGGTTGAAAAATCATGCTTTTAGGTTAAGAACTGACCTGTGAAACAGCAAGCCATTGAAGGAAAGATTTGATCTCAGGATCTCCACCATAAGCACCACATCCCCAATTCCCTGTAGCAACACCAACACCATCTTCATGATCTATACAATGCTTCTTGCAGACATGGAGGAAACCACATAAAGCCTTATTGGCCTCCCTGAAGGAAAAAAAATAATGTTCAGAAACAGTTTGATATAAGAAAACTAATCAAACAGTATAAAAGACTTGATTCAGTTTTACCTGAGGAGGCATTCAGGTTTGTACTGGGAGATTCCTGGATGACGCAGAGCATCTATGGCGATGATTCTTGTTTTTCGCCTTCCAAAAACATCTCTTTCCTTTATGTCTATGTAATCACCAGCAAACCTATAGGAAGATGAATATCTGCAGTATGTACAATAAACCATTACTTTCATAAGTAAAAAAAAAACATTTTAATGTCTGAGTATCTTTGAAAAGTGTGTAACCCTGTGTAATGAGAGAATCTTTCGGCGCCAACAACTTCAATTGCTTCAGAGACTTCCATGGCTGGTAAAAAGAGCATACCAGCGATCAATTCTGGATTGATCATGAACCGAATCTCTTCCTGTGTGTTTGTGTTTGAAACATAGTCAAGATTCGAATAAAAAACTTTCACAAGATCAAAATGATTTTTTTCAAAGCTAACAGTTAATAGACCTGGACACATCCCTTGCGTAGAGCGCCACCTCCTAAGTACTTGTTGGCGAAGTCAACTTCAAGAGCTTCAACGCTTTGATCCTCTATCAAACCAGAAGTTTGAACCTATACACCATTTGAAAAACTGATACTTGAACACACAAACCTTACATAAACAATTGAATCAAGCATCTATATAGACTATAGTTAAATAACCTCAACAGGGCAGAGATTGACATTAGATGTGCTCCAAAAGCCTTCATCAGGAACGAGGCCAGATTCTATAGAAAGAACCTTTCGTTCAAATGAGATGAATCCAGGAGGGATACATGAAGTTATCCTCTGGAAGTAATGAGTTATGCACCTTATCTTGTTCTCTTGATGCTCGTTTTGCCCTGTGCTGATTAGGCTTCTGCAATAGGTCAAAACATGATTCTTGAATCTTGTTTTTTTCTTTTGTATATGAAATTTTGTTGTCTGAGAATGGTATTTACCCGAATAGTCTGTCGAAATTGATGTTTGGAAGACGATTCGAGCCTCTATCATCGACAGGAAACAAGCAGAAGAAAGAACATGAAAGCAAGGCTCCTATAAGTTCCTGTCATTAGCCAAAACAAAAGGACAAATTTGAATTATCTCTATAGCTGTAGTGAGAATTTGCTTAAAAGAACATATATATATACCTGGCTGAGGAACACAATGCCAGCTTTGTTGGAGCCTAAGACACGAAGACCAGTTTCAACTTCATTGATGAGATTCTCTGAATTTAGATAGTGTAGTTCCAAGAGAGATGGGAATCTCAGAAGAAGACAAGCCATGGCGGGTAAAACCTCACTGAACCATCTGGTTGATTCTTCTTTTGACATTTTCTGCGCCAAACCAATACATTATTCACTCTAACCAATCTGAAAAATTATGACATTCTTATTTTTGAGTTTTTTTTCTATTATATTACCTCGTCAAAGAAGAGAGTATAGCCTTGAAATGCTGAATCAGAAAGATTAGGAGTCAAAGAGAGAGATTGTCTCATGTCAGAGATGGAATCAGACAGAGTTTGTCCCGAGTCAACTCGGCTGTGACTCGGTCCTTTGGTCAAAGCTTCTAGAACCTCCACCAAGTGCGATGACGGCCAAGAGAGTGAAGAATCATGAATCACTAGCGGCAAGTAGGCTAAAATGATCTCAAGATCTTTCCTTCTCTCCATTGCTCTGTTTTCTTTATTTCTTTCAACTTTTTTCTTGGTTATTGAGAGGTGGAGTTGCAGGTTGCTCTAAGAAAGATGAGGCCACAATATAAATATATATAAACGTCTATACAGCTCACCAGCATGATTAAACTAACTTCTGACTAAAATAGATTATTAGTTTATTATATCGTTGCTTGCGGATCAAGAAATATGGAAAGGATTTATTCAGATAATTCCACCACAGTGTTGTCTATTGGTCAATGACAATAATCAGAACCTACCATTGACTCATTCGGCCCTTTGGACATTGTTTGAATAGAAGCTGGCCAAACGAGACATGAAGAACAGAACAAAATTAATGCAGTGACTTACCAACGTGCCAGCAGCAAGGTGTAGGACTGGAGCTATAACTTGATCGACTTTGTTCCCTTTTGCATACCCTTCGAAATCAATGATCATCGAGAATGTGTGGATCGTGACAGATGCAAAAGCTAAGTCCAATTATGATGTGCCTATGTACATACCTAAATCCAATATCAAACGTAGAAACAATTTGTAGCTATAATCGGAAATTGTAATTAGTGGATCACCAAATAACATAGTGTGACAGTTAAGACAAGAGTTTCAAAAAACATATAATCTAGAACAATCACTACTCCATAGTGCATGAAACACTGAAACAAGAGCATAGATTGGTATGCATCTAGAAAAGATGAAAAACCATTGTAGACAATTAGAACTGAAAACCTTATAACAAAAACACAAAAGGCATTGGAAAGATAAGTGGCTCTAATTAGGACCCGGATGATCTACAAGACAAGAGCCAGCATCTATTACAAAGTCCTAAAACAGCTACATAAGCTTCACGTCTTCTACATGGTTCAGAAATATGTGAACTCTAAAAACCTTCTCAAACGCTCCCATTCCTTGGATATCAGCTCTTGTTATAGATTCCTTGACGAAATTGTAGTAGTAGACATGGAAAGGGTCGGATGGATAGGGAGGCGCGAAAACAAATTCGTTTGTAGCAGTCACTCCTTCAAAGAATAAGAGCTTCCCCGCAGCTACATCCTTCCACATAGGAGGTAAGTTGAAAATACGTTTGGACCATTCATGTTTTTCAGGGTCTTGTAGAATCCACATCTCTAAACTTGTACTTGTTTCATCAAGATAAAAGGGGTCCGGTTGGGCCTTTATTGTAGCCAACTTACCTTGGAAGTTAATCAGAGTTACATCATGCATATTTCTTTCCACGGCTTTAACAAAGCTATACTTCTCAGATCTAACATTAAAGCAAACTATCATATGATCACCATTAAAAGCTTCAGCAGTGTAATACAAAACACCACTGATGCATACACATTCATGCCGCGGAAATAAATGGGGCATGCCGCATTCAACCATTCTCCATGTCATGTTCCCATTATTTTTTCCTCTTAATGTAAGAACTTGATGCTCCACAGCTCCACAATTATCTCTCATTGCCAAGACCTTGTGTTGTTTCTCAACTGGATCATACCCTAAGAAGTTTCTTCTCTCAGTCCTCTTCCTTGTCTTCATTCTGGGTAGAGTGAAAGACTGTCTCGTGCTAGGGTTACATATCACATACACAACATCTTTTGTTTTCCTTCCCTTTAAGATCCGATGATCTCTTATACAGACATATCCATTGACAGGACTTGATATATGAGTGGCGCGCTCGACGGGGAAACTCACACGATGATCGGCAGCTATAAAAGAAGACACAACACTCTCACCCAAATTTTGAGGAGGCTGAGGTGAGGAGGAGAAGATCACCTCGTTCTCTTCTTGGCGGGCGAACAATAGTTGCGGACAAGCCATAGATTTGGTGAAGAACAACTCCGTGAAGTCACGACGGCGAAGTACGGAGGCCCAACGCTTGGATACGCAACGACATG